ATTTCACTGCCCTAAAAGAATGCACCGTGTGCATAACATCAAGTGATTAACACCTTATATAATTGTTTCTTAATCACAATCTCATTTATCAAACCAACAATAAGTAGTAGTGGTATCTAAAAAGCACTAGCTGTCCTTCCACAATGAAAGGTGCCTAAAAGAGACCAATTAGGACTTGATTATGTAGCTAGCTCGCTTTAAACCACTGAGTTACCACAGGAAAAATTCCATATTGGCTCAAACAAAGCTATCGTAATACAACCTAAAGCCGTATAATGTCTGGATTAATTACAACTGGTATTATTCATAACACTACTTCCTTCCATGGATGAATATGCAATCAACAGAGAGTACACATACAAACACCTTGGAAATGATACAATATATACACACAGAGAATATACCAAGGGGGGCCAGCGCTGTGGCACAGTGGGTTAACGCCCTGGCCTGGAGCACCAGCATCCCATATGGGTGCCGGTTTGAGTCTTGGCTGCTCCACTTCCTGTCCAGCACTCTGCTATGGCCTGGGAAGCAGTGGAGGATGGCCCAAGTCCTTGGGCCCCTGCACCCACGTGGGAGACCCGGAGGAGGCTCCTGTCTTCAGATCGGCACAGCTCCAGCCAATTGGGAAGTGAACCAGTGGATGGAGGGCCCCTCTCTTTCTTTCTCTCTCTCTCTGCCCCTCCTCTCTGTGTAACTCTAGCAAATAAATAAATAAATCTTTAAAAAAAAAAAAAAAGAGAGATAACATACCAAGGAAACAACTCATGAAGGCTAAAGATCTTAAAGGGGTTAGCTATGAGCACAGTGGGATAAGCCAACTGCTAGCTGTGACACTGGCATCTCAGACTGGAGTGTCAGTTCAAGTCCCAGCTGCTCTACTGCTGATGCAGCTCCCTGTTCATGTGCCTGGGAAGACAGCAGAAGATGGTCTAAGTACTGCAGCCCCTGGCACCCACATGGCTTCTGGCTTTGGCCTGGCCCACACCTGACTTTTGCGGCCATTTGGAAAGTGAACCACTGGATAGAAAAATCATCGTTCTCTGCATTTCAAATAAATTGCCCACAGTCCAAATTTAGTTGATGGCAGTGCCAGTCCTAATCCCAGCTCATTTTTTGTGCTGATCCATGGGTTCAATAAGAATAGCTGGGAAATATGAGTATAATACTTCTGTTCTATTAGTATAGATCCTGCTTAAGGTGGGTTGAGATCTGAAACTATCAAGTAAAAATTCTGTTCATGATGGACCCACACTAGTAATTATGTTAACTTTGCTGATAATGGTGGTCTAACTGCCTGAGAAATCCACAATACATCAATACATAAGAGCTGCTGCAACTCACTCACTTTTTTTTTTTTTTTTTTAAGGATTTATTTGTTTATTTATTTGGAAGTCAGAGTTACACAGAGAGAGAAGGAGAGGCAGAGCGAGAGCGAGGTCTTCCATCCGCTGGTTCACTCTCCAGTTCAACAGCTAGAGCTGTGCCAATCTGAAGCCAGGAGCCAGGAGCTTCCTCTGGGTCTCCCACCTCGGTGCAGGGGCCCAAGGACTTGGACTATCCACTGCTTTCCCAGGCCATAGCAGAGAGCTGGAATGGAAGAGGAGCAGCTAGGACTAGAACCAATGCCCATATGGGAAGACGGCACTGCAGGCCATGGCTTTATGTAACTGCTGCACCACAGTGCTGGTCCCAACAGCTCACTTTTTTTCTGAAAGACTTATTTATGGGGCCAGCACTGTGGCGAACCAGCAGCATTCCATGTGGGCTCCGGTTTTAGTCCTGGCTGCTCCACTGTTAATGCGCCTGGGAAAGCAGAGGAAGGTGGTCCAAGAGCTTGAGCCCCTTCACCTATGTGGGAGATCTGGGGGGAGGCTCCTCGCTCCCGGATTCAGCCTGGCCCAGCCCTGGGCAGTGAATCAGTGGAAGGAAGATTGATCTCTCTCTCTCTCTGTAACTCTGTCTTTCAAATAAATAAGCAAATTTTTTTTTTCTAAAGCTTTTCCATTCACTGGTTCACTCCTCAAATAGCCACAATGGCAGGAGCTGGGCCAATCCGAAGCCAGAAATCTCTCAGGTCTCCCACTTGGGTGCAGGGGTCTAAGTACATAAGCCATCTTCTGCTGCTTTCCCAGGTGCATTAGCAAGGAGCTGGATTGGAAGTGGAGCAACCCGGAATCAAATGGCCGCTGTGGCCGGCACACCGCGCTAATCCGAAGCCAGGAGCCAGGTGTTTCCTCCTGGTCTCCCATGGGGTGCAGGGCCCAAGCACTTGGGCCATCCTCCACTGCCTTCCCGGGCCACAGCAGAGAGCCGGCCTGGAAGAGGGGCAACCGGGACAGAATCCTGCGCCCCGACCAGGACTAGAACCCAGTGTGCCAGCGCCTCAAGGTGGAGGATTAGCCTAGTGAGCCGCAGCGCCGGCCGCAACTCATTCTTGATAGTGAGGAAAAGAGGATTCAAGTTCCAGGTGACACTGCCCATTTTGTATCCATTTATAAATCTGTAGCATTCTCAACAATCACACAGTAGCTACAACCATCTGCAGCAGACTGGAAAGAGTATGTTCTTGAACCCAAAAGGGACTTGCTGAGTATCAGCTCTGCCACTTATATATATCAGAAGCAGAGTAGCCGGAACTCAAACTGGCACTGCAATATGGGACACAGGTGCCCCAAGTGGCGGCTTAACCAGCTGTGCAACAATGCTTTCCCCCCTTCTGCTCTCTTTAAAGAAAAAAAAGTTTAAAAATAACTATCTACTCAAGAATATACACATGTATTTATGGTGTTCTTCTTTCCATATTTCTGTATGTAAACTTGCAGGAAATTTTTCTTTTATCTTTCTTTTTTGACAGCCAGAGTGGACAGTGAGAGAGAGAGACAGAGAGAAAGCTCTTCCTTTTTCCATTGGTTCACCCCCCAGTGGCCGCCGCAGCCGGTGGGCTGCGACCAGTGCACTGTGCTGATCCAAAGCCAGGAGCCAGGTGCTTCTCCTGGTCTCCCATGGGGTGCAGGGCCCAAGCACTTGGGCCATCCTCCACTGCACTCCCGGGCCACAGCAGAGAGCTGGCCTGGAAGAGGGGCAACCGGGACAGAATCTGGTGCCCCGACCGGGACTAGAACCCGGTGTGCCGGCGCTGCAGGGGGAGGATTAGCCTAGTGAGCCGCGGCGCCGGCCTTGCAGGAAATTTTTCTAAATTGGAAATTTAGCCCCTCATCTCCAAAGACATACCCCCATCTCCAATTTACATGATACCTTTCTTCCTCTGGAGCATAAAATCAGCTCCATAAGTTTAGTCATCCTCAGTCAAACAGTATTTCAGAGATGCCAGCACTGAATTAGGTACTACCCCTCAGAGTTTAGGGATCACCCCTACAAAAGAAGAAAAATGTAGTTACTGTGATAATATCCTTGCTGGGAATCTTACAGTCACTGGTAGAGCTAGGAGTGAATTTTCAAGCCAGTGTAGTTTTCTACATACTAAGTAATATAACAAAGATATAAATTAAGCAGATTCCAGGAAATCATCAAATCTATGTCATTTACGGAGTATGTATACCTCTACAAACGTCTACACGCACAACAAAGGAAGACTGTAGATTTTCAAATGTTTCTAACGCAAATGAAGGAGACTTGCATGGGACACTTTTTGCCACTTTCCCTAATAAGGTTCTGTTTCTGCCACCAACCACTAACAATGGGTGGCCACCAGTGTTAGGATCCCCGTGTGAGGAAACAAGCTCTATTAAGTATCCTGAGGGAACAAACAGAAAACTCCATAATGCTTGGCAGCGTTAGGAATCGTAGCTGAAGCTGCTAAAACAGCTGAAGAAGAGTAGCAAGGGAGCTTCCTTCTGGCTTCAAGCTACACGTGAGACATCACGGAGGCCCCACGTGTCTGGTGGCTCTGGAAACTTCTCCTGATTCTGGGTGTCTCTTCTGAATTACTTTATGGAGAATACTAGGACGAGCCTGGCAGTGGGCTGAAGGCAGAAAATGACCAAGAGCAGCACATTTCCCCAAGCCAGCGGTCTTCCCAAAGCCTTGCGCGCCTTAGACAGCATTCAAGACACAACATCCCGGACAAAACAGCAGCAGCCTCTCCTTGTCAACCTGGTGGGCTGGTTCTGCAAATCTACGTCTTAGAAAAGAGAATCCCCACCAGATCTGCTTCCAGACTTGGACTGAGAATGGCCAGTAGGCACTTATGACCCCAGCATTAAATCTAGAGAAGCAACTACCCACGTCCCTTAGCTGAATCCTATCAGACAACATCCACTGCAGATTTCATGCCGAGGTGCTGCTGAAGTCTGACTCAGACCTCAGGGAAGATTCCACCACCTAACCACATACACTGTTAGGGACTACAGCTTCACACGCTGCCCCAACTTTCCAAGCTTTGGGGCGCCAAGGTACATGGTGTAAGTTTAAAAACGAGGTTCGCTACAAACTGACCAAAAGAGGGAGAGCACACACTCGGTTCACCAGGTTTAAAAAAAAAAAAAAAAAAGAGGGGACCAGCAAATTACAAAAGGACGAGGGTTAAGACAATAAATCCTGCTGTTGGCTACAACACACACCAGAACAGACCCCTAATCAAACACGATCTACAGCCAATGAACAGCCCACACCCAGCAGCTGAAGCACGCCAAGCATTTTCCAGGTTTAAAATGGATTGCTACAAATCGCCCGAGTCGAACCCGAGGGCAAAATGCTAAAGTGGCTCTCGGCGAGGAGCATCACACAAAAGACAGGAGCAAACAGAAACACGCTCTGGGCCGCGGGCGGCTGAGGCGGGGAGCCGAGGTCTCCGTCCCAGCCCGCCGAACAGGGGGGCGAAGAAGGGCCCGCTGGGGCTGGGGGTGGGGGTGGGGTCCTCTCCCCCTAGGGCGCCCGGGAGAGAGGGGCGGGCAGCGCAGCGGCGACCTACACTCGGCGGCACCCGCGGGCCCGCACCAGGCCTGGCCCTCCCGGCCCGGCCCGGCCCGCCCGCTCACCTCTCTCACGTCCTGCAAGCACTCGAGCACCGCCAGGTTGTTGCTCCAGGTATGTCTGGGGCACACACGGGTCACGTCCTCCCTGCAGGACTCTTCCTCCGCCAGCTTCCAGCCCCCGCCGGCTCCGCCGGGCCCCGCTCCGCCCCGCCGAGCCGGAGGCCCACCCGCCGGGAAAGGCGGTTGCGGCGGCTGAGGCGGCTGCTGTTGCTGCTGCTGCTGCTGCTGCTGCTGCTGCTGCTGCTGCTGGAGCTGCGATGACGGGGGCAGCTGCGGACCCGCTGGGCCGCCGCCTCCGGCCTGCCCTGCAAAGGGCACCGCGTTGACCCCTGCGCCCTGGCCCTGACCGTGGACGCCCTGGCCTGGGACTTTCTGGGCCCCGGCCGCCGCGAGCAGCAGCAGCGGCAGCGCCGCCGACAAGCGGAACATCCTCCGTACACGTCCACACGCCGCCATCTTGGGTCCGCGGCGAGCTCGACGCACCCGCCGGCGCCGCGTATTTAAATGAGGGGGCGGAGCCGCGGGGCGTGGGGCCGTCGTGGCCCCGCCGAGCCCCTCCCCGGCCGCCGAGGACCCGCGAGGCGAGGGCAGGGCGCGGAGCAGGCCGCGCTGTGGCGCCGCCGCCCACTCCCCGGACCCGGCGGGCGGGAAAGCCGCGCTCTTTACCCTGGAAGTGGCTGGGCCCGATTTAGAAAGCTGGGTAGGGCCACGACGACTTGGTCCAAGTCCCTTGGTTGTCGTCACAGGAAAAAAAAAATCAAAAAGGATTGGGGTTGCCACAACCAAGATGGCCGGTAGACAGTGTCCCCAGTTCAGTCACTTGGAAAAAAAAAAAAGTGTGTACACGTGAACCTTTCCCCCAGCAGGTGCAGTCCGGGTCTTTCTCGCCTCCAGGGCAGTGGTTAAGAGCACAGGTTAAGAAGAGACGCCTTGGCCCTAACCCTTGCACGTGAACAGAAATGTCAAGAACGCACTTGATTGTGAAGATTAGAAATGAGACATGTGCCTAGCCCACGCATGGAACTCAGAAAGTTACAGCGGTGTCTGTTGATGTGAGGCCCTCTGCGGGAGTCCTGATTCCAAGCCAGGAGCAGACTCAGGACCCAAGGTTGAAAAGAAAATGGAACACAGGTTGGCTGTGTGCTGGCCGCTGCTTTTGCGGACTTGTCTGTAGCATCTTCAACACCTGCTGCACCCTCACCAGTGTCGCCTCCTTCAGGTTGGGAGAGATGTCGTCTTCCCAAAGCCTCTTCACATCCCTTGCACCATTTGAGTCGCGCATCAAGACTGGGTTAGGTTCCAGTTCAACTGGGGAATGGCATAAAGATGTTAAATGGGGCTGGTGCTGTGGCATAGAAGGGTAAGCCTCTGCCTGCCGTGCCGGCATCCCATATGGATGCCGGTTGGTGTCCTGGCTGCTCCACTTCCGATCCAGCTCTCTGTTTATGGCCTGGGAAAGCAGCAGAAGATGGCCCAAGTGCTTGGGCCCCTGCTCCCACATAGGAGACCTGGAAGACGCACCTGGCTTCGGATTGGCCGGGCTCTGGCCATTGCAGCAACTTGGGAAGTGAATCAGCAGGTGAAAGATCTTACTCTCTCTCCTTTTTTCTCTGTATCTCTCTTTCAAATAAATAATCTTTTTTAAAAATGTTAAACAGTTCTGCACAGAGGAGTTAAATGAGCTACCCAGGATGAACTCTGCCAGCCCATTTACAGCCTTCAACCCCAATCTCTGGGTCTTCCCACCACCTTGGTACACTTTTATCCCTTTCTGCCATTGCAGAATGATGGGGAGGGAGGCACTTTGAGACATATAGTCCCCACTGACTACAAGTTATCAAGTCCAAAATGCAAATCCTGCTGTCCCGGCCCACAGATGAGCAGTAAAGACCATAACTAGGACCTGAGAAGTTGGATAGGGGCTCAGGGGTTCCAAAAGCAGCCCCCCAAGGCGGAGAATATTCTGTGGGTACAAATTGCCTACCGTGACCAACCCATGGCCTCCACCTCTGAGACTGAAAACAGGTTGGTATCTCCCAAGGCTCACACTTGTTTCTGCCATAAAATGACCCTAAGGCTCTTCTCTACCAGCGTGGTGAGATAAAACGCAAAGCATAGATAAGAGACAGGCCAGAGACATCACGAGTCCTTGAGAAGTCACCAGGAACCATTAATTTTCAAAGCTGGATCTGCCCATGTTTAGATAACAAGTGAACAACTGTTTTAAACTAATTTAAGGCTAGAAATTGACAGTCTGCCCACTGAAGCCAGCAGTTGCCTATCTTTTATCAGGGCACAAAGAAAATTCTATATTGAACTGCAGATTGCCTAGCAGATAGGGAGGAATATATGCACCTATCTTGAAATCACAGCGACCGAGAAGCAAGAAATCGAAAGAAGTCTGGGAACCTGGCCAACTCAAACCATGTCTGGCAATTCTATACCTTACACAAGGTACAAGCTCCCAAACCAGTGGAAAGATGGTTGACCTAAATCAGGTCTCCTGGACTTTTTGATGTATCTTTTCTACCAGAAACTACACATTCATTTTTTAAAGGATGTATTTATTTGAAATGCAGAGTTACAGCAAGGCAGAGGCACAGAGAGAGAGGTCTTCCATCTGCTGGTTCACTCCCCCAGATGGCTACACAATAGCTGGAGCTGCACCAATCTGAGCCAGGAGCTTCTGGGTCTCCCATGTGGATGCAGGGGCCCAAGGACTTGGCCATCTTCTACCGTTATCCCAGGCCATAGCAGAGAGCTGGAGTGGAAGTGGAGCAGCTGGGACTCGAGCCAGTGCCCATATGGGATGCTGGCACTGCAGGTGGCAGCTGAACCCGCTATACCACAGCACCAGCTCCCATATTCATTTTTAAAAATACTATTATTACTCTAGGAATTCTTTTTAGCCCCCCCCCCTTTATTTTTAAATTATTTGAAAGGCAGAGTTACAGAGAGAGAGAGAGAAGCAGGGAGATACAGAGAGTTCTGGGCTCCCGGCTTCAACATGACCCAGCACTGAGTGTTGTATGAATTTAGGGAATGAACTAACAGATGGAAGATCTCCATCTGTCTCTCTGCCTTTCAAATTAAATGACAATAAATAAATAATTGTAGGGACAGCATTTAGCCTAGCAGTTAAGACATTGGATAACAGGACTGGCACTGTGGCGTAGCGGGTTAAAGCCCCGGCCTGCAGTACCGACATCCCTTATGGGCACTGGTTCGAGTCTGGCTGCTCTACTTCCAATCCAACTTCCCTGCTAATGCACCTGGGAAAGCAGTGCAAGATGGCCCAAGTCCTTGGGCCATGCATGACTTAGCTCCAGCTGTTGGTGGCTGTTTGGGGAGTGAACCGGTAGATGGAAGACCTATTTCTCTATCTCTACATCTCTCTGTAGCTCTGTCTTTCAAATAAATATAATATATCTTGGCCAGTGCCGCGGCTCAATAGGCTAATCCTCCACCTGCGGCGCCAGCACCCCGGGTTCTAGTCCCGGTCAGGGCGCCGGATTCTGTCCCAGTTGCTTCTCTTCCAGTCCAGCTCTCTGCTGTGGCCAGGGAGTGCAGTGGAGGATGGCACAAGTGCTTGGGCCCTGCACCCGCATGGCAGACCAGGAGAAGCACCTGGCTCCTGCCTTCGGATCAGCGCGGTTCACTGGCCCTAGCGCTCCGACCGCAGCGGCCATTGCGGGCAGGGGGAGAGGGGGTGAACCAATGGAAAAGGAAGACCTTTCTCTCTGTCTCTCTCCCTGTCCACTCTGCCTGTCAAAAATAAATAAATAAATCTTAAGAAAAAATACACTGAATAAGACTCCCACATCTCATATTGTTTCCTGCTAAAGCAGATCCTGGCATGGGCAGTGGCCAATGGGGACAGGGGAGCCAAAGCTAGGATCCAGAAACTCAATCTAGGTCTCCCTCTTCCACGTGGTTGGAAGGGACCCAATTATTTGGGCCATTACTGCTGCTTCCCAGGGTCTACACTGTCAGAAAGCTGGAGTCAGGAACCTGATCCAAGTATCAAACCCAGGTACTCTGGTGTGGGATGTGAGTTAACCAGCTAGGCCAAAAACCTGCCCCTGTGAATTTTTTTAAAAGATTTATTTATTTACTTGAAAAGCAGAGTCGGAAGGAGTGAGGAAGCAGGGAGAGAGACAGCAAGAGATGGACAGATCTTCCATTTGCTGGTTCACTTCCCAATGGCCAAACAGCCAGGGAGGGCCAGCCCGAAGCCAGGAGTCAGGAAATCCATCTGGGTCCCCCACATGGGTGGCAGAGGCCCAAGCACTTTGATCATCATCTGCTGCCTTCTCAGGCACAATAGCAGGAAGCTGGATTGCAAGCAAAGTGGCTATGACTTTGACTAGCACTTCGATATGGGATGCTAGTGTCATAAGCAATGGCTTAACCTGCTGCCACATAACACTGGCCCTAATTCCTGTGGTCTTTCCTACTAGGAAGTATTTTAATCATTTTTAAAAAGATTTATTTATTTATTTGAAAGGCAGAGGTAAAGAGAGAAAAAGAGAGGTCTTCACTCTCTTCACTTTGATTCACTCCCAAATGGCTGCAATGGCCGGAGCTGGGCTGATCCGAAGCCAGAAGCCAGTAGCTTCTTCCAGGTCTCCCATGCTGGTGCAGGGGCCCAAAGACTTTAGCCATCTTCTACTGCTTTCCAGGCCATAGCAGAGAGCTGGATCAGAAGTGCAGGAGCCGAGACTCAAACTGTTGCCCATATCTGATGCCAGCACTGCAGGTGGCGGCTTTACCCACTATGCCACAATGCCAGCCCTGAACTTTAATCATTTTTCTTAGAAAACAAAAACCAAAAAACTTCCAGACACGGTTCACTTAAACAACAAAGGTACTGATTGACAGGGATTTTTCAGGAGTTGGGGATTCTAAAGTACTAGGAAGAAATGTTGGTATCCTGCTTCATTATAGATGGCAGAGGTCATTAATGGGAAACTTCTGCCCTCTAGGCCAATATCAAAACCCAGTGCAATGATAATCCCTTTTATAGTTTGTTTTCTTTCCTGCTATCTCCTCTATCCCACAGAAATGCCCAGTAGGAACTAGCTTAGACTCCAGTCTTCTTGTTGAGTAGGAAAGGGAAGGTCACTCAGTCTCCACGCTTCCTCTTCTTTAGATGGTTCTTCTGTGTTCTCTCCCTTGCCTTCCTTCTTCTCTCGTGGCTTCTTGTAAGTCTTTTTTTTTTTTTTTTTTTTTTTTTTTTTTTTTTTTTTTTGACAGGCAGAGTGGACAGTGAGAGAGAGAGACAGAGAGAAAGGTCTTCCTTTGCCGTTGGTTCACCCTCCAATGGCCGCCGCGGCCGGCGCGCTGTAGCCGGCGCACCGCGCTGATCCGATGGCAGGAGCCAGGAGCGAATCCGGCGCCCCAACCGGGACTAGAACCCGGTGTGCCGGCGCCGCAAGGCGGAGGATTAGCCTAGTGAGCCACGGCGCCGGCCTTCTCGTAAGTCTTAATGAGTCGCTATCACTCCATCCCAGAGAGAAAATTTGGAAGCAAGATGGTTGCATCAGTTCCTGGCCAAGGATCTTTCTGAAGCCACCACGGACCACAGGCTGAGATGTGTAGCTCGCATGTCCTGCTGTTCCAGGGTCAAGACTGTGTGCCCTGAAGCTGCCATTCTCACAGTGATACCTGCTAAACCTGGAAGACACAGTCCTGCCACCAAAATCTGCAAGCAATGCCTGGATGCCGCATTTAGGGCCAAAGGCTGTCGGATGGGGTTATTCATCACAGTACAATGCCCAAGTAGGTCAAGGATCCAGGGTGAGAGGCTCACACCCAGGAGAGAGTCCTCAAGTCCTTGCAGTCTGATGAGAACTCTGTGGAATGAGAAGCATTTTCCTCAAACCAGCAGGTGTGTCAGGTGGCCGGCAAGGTACTCTGCAACACCTAGATAGCCAAAGGGAGTTCTAGGTCCAGTTTTCGGAGATTGGGTGGCACTGTTGTATTGGGAATCTTTGCCGAAGCATTAGGAGAACCGATGTCAGAAACAGTCTTATTGGTCTAAATTTCTGAAGGATCCTGCGCTCTCAGGCTTTCTATAACTTTGTTCCCCAGGGCAGCAACAGCTTCCAATGGTGGCAGAATCTTCAGCATTGCAACCAGGTCAGTAACGTTGTGTCCTCTAGTCATTGTTCTTTTTTTTCTAAGATCCTACCTGTCTTCTTCAGTTTGCCCTTCAAATGTCCCTGGAGCCACATTCAAATTGTCCATCACATTGCTTATGTTTTTTTTTTTCTTTTTTTT